AAAGTTACTTCAGACTTTTAAACAACCAACATTTAAAGGTTCAAGTGATCCAATAGTGGCTGAGGACTAGTTGTTCAAGATAGGGAAGATCCTCGATGGTATAATATGTCATGAAAATAGAAAAATACCACTGGCCACATTTATTTTGGAAAGAGAAGTAGAAAGATTGTGGCAAGCACATCATAAAGAAAAAATTGAACAAATGCCTATCATTAATATACAGTGGGATGATTTTGTGAGGGTATTCGAGAATGGTTTATTCCTCCTTCAGCTAAATTAGCTTGGCAAGATAAATTTTTCAATCTAACTCATGGTTTGAAGATAGTTATGCAATATAAAGTTGAGTTCACGTCTTTGTCCCGCTATGCACCTCATTATATAAGGATCCAGATGAAGTGCCATAGATTTTTGAGAGGCCTCAGGGACCAGGGACCAACTAAGACTCGCATTGGAACCTTTTGATATTAGTGTCAGTCTTAGTGGAGAGAGCCAGAAAGATTGAAAATGAGCTAAGTTTTTCTAAGCACAGTTGATAACAACAACAATTAGGGGAAAAAGTATTAAAAAAAAAAACGATCGATTTAAAAAGAAGCTAAAATTTGATGAAAAACTGAAGTAAAGCCAGCTTAAAAAATCGTTGTGCGAGCAGTACGGGAAGAGGCATTTGGGTTGGTGTTTGGTGGGTTTTGGAAAATATGTTAGATGTGGTGAGTCAGGTTATCGTAAGGTGGATTGCCCTCAAGAGAGAAGAACCCATGCTATGCCACAGGGATATCTGGGGCATCAGAAATAGGCACAACATAGGAGATATCTGGAAGTCAATCAGACAAGAAAAACTCAATTTCAAGGAAGGCCAGCAGTGTAAAGAAAACCACCAGTTCAGTTAAAAGAAGAAGCAACTGATGTTAAAGGAAATCAACCTGTGAAAGCTATAATGTTTGTCATTACACCCCAGGAGGCCAAGGATTCAGAGGAGGTGATTACATGTATACTTTCAATTTCAGAGTACTGACAGATTACTTTTTGATTATGGTGCATTCCATTAGTTTTTTCTGAAGAATTATGTTCTAATTTATCTGTTGAGACTGCATATTTTACACCTACCTTATGTGTTATGATGCCAACGGGGGATAGTTTGATTGCCAATAGGATGTGTCTTATAAATTTGGATTTTCAAGATCACAAATTTTCAACAGAATTGATTATAATAGCTTTTAAAACATTGGCATCATCTTTGGAATGGATTGGTTAATTAAATATTTTTCTTGAATTTAATATAAGAAGCAGAGAATAAAATTTAATTTACCAAATAAGAAGACATTCAGTTTTTCCTGTGAGAAAAATGCAACATCCTCTCTTGTTAGTGCAGTAAAGATGGGTAAAATACTTGAGGGTGTTGCGAATATGGATTCATGAATTATAATTTTGATTATAACAAGCAGTTCTTACACTTCTATTTTTCTACTATTGTCTTGCCTATTAACGTTTCAGGTCCATAAGATCAAATTGCAAATCAAATCTGCTTAAGATTGGGTAGAATAGGACTGATTCAACTTGTAATGTACGTCAAGTGTCTGTTACCTTTTCTTGAGTCAATTGTAATAATGTGGGTCCTGATGCTAAGTAACCTTGTACACACACTCGAGGGAAAAATTCTGACTATTTTAGAGTTTGCTGATTTTGATTATATTGTCCGGGACGATCCCAAATTGTCCTGGACGACCAGTTAAAAATATAAACCCTAATTAGGGCATCATGGTTAAAGCAATCGTAATTAAGCAGTTCGTCCTAGACGATATTATCATCGTCCGGGACGATAGGCTCAAATCAGAAAGAAGCAGCCGTCATATATGTTTAGGCATGTTTTAATTTTAAAACATCATCCAAGATATCGTCCTGGACGATGTAGTACAATTATTCCTAAATTAGTTTGGTAATTAAGGAAAGCAATTAAAGTTTGAATGCTCGATCGAATCGTCAGGGATGATCGCAGGATCATCTTGGACGATCAGTTAAAAAAACCTTAGTTTCTTCCTGGACGACAAGAACGATGTTCTAGACGTTGTGGATTGTTTTTGCACTAATCGTCTAGGACGATCCAAAATCGTCCTAGACGATCTGTTATTTTTCCATCGTCCATCCATGCAAGCAGTAAATGCATGTGAATGCGCAACAAAAGTGTAGTGGAAGCGAGCAAAAGCTTAGTGAAAGAACGCAAAAGCTCTATAGAAAAAAACATAATGAAAGCGCATTTGCAAATGCATAGTGAAAAAACACTTAAAGCACAGTGGATATATGAAGTGATACCATGAAAGCTATGCAACCTAGTTTAAAGAACACTTAAAGCTATGCACCCTATTTTAAAGCACACTTAAAATACAAAAATTGTGAAAAAGCAGCAAAAGCACATCAAAGGCGCAGCAAGTTATTGTGCATGTGTGCGAAGGAGACGAACTTCTGCAACGTGTGGAATGCCGAATGATTAAAAGAACAGCGTCTGGAATACTAAACGAGAGAGAGTGCGCAGTGAAAAATGTCGGGTTGAAAAGTAAAATGACCTATTTTCGAGTCTTTTGAACTCCTGTGAATTCAAAATTTTCATCTCTAGTTCAGTTCAGGTCGGGTCAGACATGCTGACAAAACAAAAATAATAAACAAAATCTAATCGAACATCCACTTGTTGCCTCCACATATCAGGATTTAATTGGAGTTCGAATGCAAAGCTACGTCCGAACTCCGCACCAAATAATTTCTCCATGCATACAATCCTTGGGATCTGCTTCAGAACAGACTTCAAACATACACACTCTCAAAGGGCACTCTAGACACATGTGAGAAAATGCAGAAGTTTTAGCACACCAAACTTACCGGATTGGATTAGAATAAGTGCAATTGTACACTATCACATTAAGTATTACATGCCCTCTCCTTCTTAGGACGTCGATGATAACATAGTGGGTTTGGTCTCCTATCCATCCTATTCCTGCAATGAATTCTTTCATGTTATCTTCCTCGGTGAGGGTCCCTCTTAGGGGCAATCCCTTAATGGCCAGTGGCTTTGGAAAATTTAGTCACTCGGTTGTACTCCTCAATGTTGAAATGATTATTGGCCAACTCTACCAGTTCAACAAGTGTCCTCAACTACTGCAAACTAAGTGCATATCCAAAAGGACCTTCCCTCAATCCTTAAGTTAATGCAGCCTAGGCGACCATAGACTCTATGCCTTTCACATTTAGCATCTCTCTTTGGAACCTCATTGTGAAGCTCCTCAGTAGTTCTGTAGTCTCATGCCTAATTTTCAACAGAGACTACGAGCTCTTCATGGGTTTCTAGGTGCTAGTGAATTTTGTAATCAACACCCACTTGAATTCAAAAAAGGATGCGATTACACCTAGACTAACTTCTTGAGTGTTCTGAAGAAGAGATGACACTTACAGACATCATTTGTCTAGCCAAGAGGTTATATAGACTCAAAGACCTCCACATGCTCTATGGAGATCTCTCTTGCCTCTGTACGATTTCCAGTGAGGCACTTTGAACTTGGGAGGCAGCTTGGCCTCGACAAATGCCTTAGAAAAGTCATAAGTTAGTTCTAGTTCTTCCATCCTAGTTTGCGTAGCCAATCGGCTATAATCTTCATCATGATTCCAAGTGAAAGTGAAGTCGGGGATGAGCATTGAGGCGACTGCTCTCTCTAGGCACCTTTAGCGAGCTGTCGAGTTAGAGGATCCTTCGAGCTTCTTGTTAGCTCGCGCTTGCCCTAGGATCCCATTCAAGGTGTTCGAGATTGTCTTCATTAGTCTATCTATTTTTTGCAAGACATAGCAAGTTGTGAATTCAACATTTTTCGTGTTCACTAAAGGCTCTTACTGAAGTCACTCATAAATGAATCTATCTTCTTGACCTTAGCATCAATCCATGTTCCTATATCTAAAAAGGATGTTAAAATCATATTTATCCTGTGGATAGATCTACCTGGTGAGCTAAGAACCTATTGGTGAAAATGGAGAGGAAAGAGAGTAGAGAGGAGTTAGATATCAAAATCTCTCCTATCTTAATTAGAAAATATAAAAATTGGGACTCAAATGGCCCAAAAGATCTAGAGAAGAGTAAACTATTAGAAAAATGTCCCAAACTATTCCTCAATACTCCCTATTTATATGGTTTTGGGGGCTACAGGAAAGGTTATACATATAATAGTTAATAATATAGGCTACACATAGAATATCCATATAATGCTACATGCTAATCTAGTACACGTGTTGTCTCTTGATAGGTTGTAGGCGGATAAAGTCAAGATAGGCAAGGTGTTGTAAAGAAAGTCTATGGGTGAATCACAAGAGGAGATGGACCCATGGCTAACGAGTGGTATGATCAAGTAAGTGACTGGCTTAGGGAGCTTGAAGTCGCTCTGTCATGAAAGACGAGCAGTGGTGTTTATAGGGATGAAGAATTCCTAACTTGGTGGTGGTAGCTGAATGGAGTATGAAGTCTTTGGGGTAGACACTTTCTTGTAGAGACTCAAAGGGATGAGATCTGACTGAGATAAAAAAGGCGATCTATTTTCTTGGTGAGGAACTTCTTGGTCGCCAAGCATAGAGCAAGCTCCTTGGCAGACGAGGGTGAGTAATGCCCAATGTTCTCCCTAAGTAAGTTCCTTTACTAGCCTCAGGCAAGTCTGTTGAGTGATCTCCTCCTAAGAGGGAATACCATCATGACAACTTGGTCACTACCTGTTAAAAAACCTAAGACGATGATGGGTATACATTCACCTTCCGCATATGTATCATATTTCTTTACTGTTCCTTAGCATGTACTCTAAGTGGACACACACAAACAACTTGCATAAAACTCCAGCTAATTTAAAAAAAAGAAGAAGGTAAAAATATAATTTAAAGGATCGATAGAATCCAAATTTTCAAGGTGAAACAGAAAATGAAAATATTCTCCTTAATTATAAGCACTGGTATTCCTAAGACCAAAAGGGAGAAGCTTTAAATCATTAATTTTATGATCAATCTTCTTAAATCTTTAAGGAATTAAACGCTCCATTACAATCAGATCTAGACGTTCATAACTGATCAGTTTATGCAAAGAAGAAGAAAAAAGTCAGCTAAAGAAGGAAGTTCAATCCAACCTTTCTTTCCTCAGTTAAGGGATTTCTATACAAACAAAATGTGGAGCAACACCAAACGAAAATACTTACTCCCTTCAAAAGTACTCTCTTTGCAGGCTTCTTTGTATCGTAACACATACTGCTTAGATAAGATTTCTGCTATAACCTGTTTCTGACCAAAAAGATGAGAATTTTTCAGAAGCAAGTTCCTAGATGATGAATCCACCACATAACCATGTGTTTGCATCCATTTCAGCAGGGATAAAAGAAGCCCTTTCTTTTCAGGTTTTCCGATGTAACGTGAAATGGCTACACGGAATATCTCCTGCAAAATGGAAACTCTAAATTGACTTAGCTTGCAGATCTAAGTTTTAGCCTTTTAGATTAGGATGACTTCTCATCACAAAGTTTATCTACGCAAATACTGCATTAAAACTATGGAACTGATCCAGATGATAAAAAATTGCTAATATCAGAACTAAATGAAATTATTCAAAATAATTAAAATGCTTAAAAATGACTGAGTATACATTTAGAGCGTAGAACCTTCACGGATGACAAAAACTTAGATGAAGTCGTTTGAAGGAGAAAAAAATTCTTAAATGGCATCAGAAATTCTTGCCATGGATTATAGCAATGTAGAATGATTAAAGAATCAAGCAACCATTAGCAAATGAATAAGAATGAAACTAATCGTGAAGTGTGAGCATTATTCCCTTTAAGGAATTCCAAAAGCCCTACATTAGATGCAGAGGAACCCTAGATGTAATGCCAATAAGACTATAAGGGGTGATAGAGGAATTCTAACCCTTTCTACTCAAATATACTCTTCTCCTAGACGTCATACATCAAAATGGTATCAAGAACAACCTGATTGCCACATAATAGTCATAGATGAATGTGATTGTCTAATCAACAAGAGAAAAAGGAATTTCCTTCTTACACTTATTCCTCTAAATGAATGTCATTGTCTGATCCAAAACAGGCCTCCCAAACCAAGCCCAGTAGGTTTCAAACTCCACTGTACTCAAAGACAAATGCAAATTAGGCTTTGTTTCTAATTTATTTGACATTTTCCTGCGTTTCTTAATGATTATTAACTTAGCTAGGTATTTATATAAGGTCATAGTCGTTGCATAAGATTTCATTTTGAATGATAAGTGTTTTGAATTATTCCTCCCCCATCATACTCATCCACCACTCTCCTATCTAATCCCTTTGTCTCCGTCACCTTTGTAACAATTTTCCAACTTATCTTGAAAACCTTTTGACCACCTCTCAACATTTTTTATTTCTCTCTTTTGTTTCTGGTCATAATTGCATGTTGTTTGATTTGGGTTTTCGTCATTCAACTATTTATAAGTTTTATTGGTTGATTAACTAATGCATACGCTCCACTTCTTTTCACAAGTTAATGATTCAATCTTGCTCCGATTCAGAACAACCCTACATCAGTCAATATCTGAGAAAACGTTATCTACATCAATTGGAGTCAAAGCATTTATCTTCTACATCAATTTGGTGCTAAATCAGAAAGACCTTAATCACAACTAACTTATTCTACATACGAAAAGGGATCTCGTGATATTGTTTATATTATTCATTTGAAATTTTAATTACAATAGCTTGATTTTCCTTCATCATCTCTATTCATAGCATGATCTTCAAAACCTTAAAATTCTAATTCATGCAATGTAGAATACTATGGTTATGTTTATTATTCAAAATCGTCACCAAGGAATTATCAATATGTTCCTTATTATAAAATTAATTATATATATTATCATTGGCGAGTAAGTTTTTAGTCGATTTACTCTATTAAAACTTAGAGCTTTCCAAGTTATTTTTGTCAATTCTTGAGAATACCTCTACATTAAATTTAAATTATTCAATTTTGCAAGAACATCATATATTTTGATGCACAAATCTCATTGCAAGGATTTCATGGTCATAATGAATGCATTGAGCGAAATAGAGGTCAGTCAAGCAATATTTGTAGTTATTTTAGCAAAAGTAGCTCCAGCGCCTAGGCACCACACTCTAATTTTTAATCGAGAAACTGGCCTCAAGGCACCACACTCCATTGCCAAGTCACAGTATCCTGCCACCAAGGCATAATCCATTAACTCGAAGATTTTTGTTCAAGAGCTTGGCGACAAGGCTCCAATTCTAACACTGAGGTGCAAGGCAACAATTTTTCACAAGTTGACCTATTCACCAAAAAGCCAATGCTGCATCCCCTATTGCTAAATCTATAATGACATATTTGGAACTAAATTTTAGAGATTTTTGGATGAATTCTTTAATAAAAATTTTAAAGGAATATTAGGGCAAGTTTTTGGGAATTGGATGCATCTTATCATAAAGGAAAATTATTACCAGAGAGAGGATTTGGGCGAGGGCTTTGGAATCCAACTGTTTCTTTCTTCTTTTCTCATATTTTCAATTTCAGCAATGTTATTGTTAATTTTCCTTTTCTCTAGCATGAACTAAATCCCATCTAAGGTTTGATGAAACAAAATTTTTAATATCAATTTCTTGCTAATTTAAACTTTCAATAGTTGTGCTTTCAATTCTTGTTATGTAATTTCAACCATTTTTTATTGTTCTAGTGATTTTTTAATCAATTGCGAATTTTGAAGCTTGATTTGCATAGGGGAAATGAGTTCGACGTGATTGAAATGTCTCAGCTAATTGTACGATAAAAATATCTAAGCTATGGCTATGGAATCTCTTGAATCCCACTTTGTAGCTAAATTTACAACATTAATTTGATCTAAAGATGAAAATAGGTTATGTATGGTAAGTTAGTCTCTTTAGGTTTTTAAGAAAATGGTACTGACCAATTTGGTTACACCGAACCTATCCTTGTTGATTGACAAATATAGCATGATTTTAACAAATTGTTGATATCCTAGTAAAATATAACCCTTATTTTTCATCCATATTAACATTTATCTTAACATGTTTAAAATTTAAGTAATTAGGAACTTTTAAGTCTATTAATTTTTTTTTCAAGCGCTTGTCCACATATCTATTTTTAATTTTCAAATAAAGTCTAAATTAAGTAAATTTTGGTACTTAGTAAATTTAATGTATATGGAATGAAATCTTCTTTTTCATCATTTTATTACTTTCTTACAACAACAACAACAAGCCTTTATCCCACTACGTGTATGTGGGGTCGGCTACATAAATCCTTTTTCACCAATATGTCCTGTTAAGAATCAAATTTTAATTTAAATCTAACAAAAACATGTCATTTCTAAATTTTTTTAACAAAGTCATTTTTAGGTCTATCTCTACCTCTCTTAACATAAGACAAAATTTAATACATCGACTCTCCTAATCGAGTCATCATAAGTGCAACACTTTATGTAACCAAACCATCTAAAGAGACTCTCTTTAATCTTATCTGCCACGGGAGCAACTCCAACATTTTCACGTATATGCTGATTTCACATTCTATCCCTAAGGGCAAAACCAATCATCTACTTGAACATCCACATCCTGCAACACTTAACTTAATTGTAAGCTTCTCTTTTAATGGAAAACATTTTGCGCCAAAAAGCATTGTAGGTTTCACCATATAGAATTTTCCATTAAGTTTGAGGGGTACTTTTTTATCAAACAACAAGCCCGATGCATTCCTCCACTTCAACCATCAAACTTGAATTCCACAAATAATATCCCCATCTATTTCACCATCACTCTAGACAAGAGACCCGAAAAATTTAAAATGTGTACTCTAATTAATGACTTGATCACCCAAAGTCACAATTCCCCAATTAGATCTATTACAAATAAAATAAAACTTCATGTATTCAATTTTAGATATGCTCAAACGAAAACCTATAGACTCTAAGTTGACATCCATAATTCAAGTTTACCATCATTCCCTCTCTAGTCTTATCAACAAGAGGAATATCATCAACAAAAAGCATAAACCAGGGTACATCTTCCTGCAAATGTCTAGTAAGAACATCCATGACTAAAGCAAAAGGATATGGGCTTAAAGTTGATCCTTGTTGTAATCCAACTGAAATAAGAAAATACTTAGTCAAACAATCTTGTGTTTGAACACAAGTCACAACTCTTGCATATATATCCTTAATAACTTGAGTATAAGCATTATTAACACATTTATTTTCTAAAAATCTCCATGGCACTTATCTTGAAACATTATCATAAGCTTTCTCAATCAATAACTATCATATGTAGATCCTACTTATTCTCACTATACTTCTCAATCAAATCTCTCAATAGATGTATAGCTTCCATAGTAAACCTACCTAGCATGAATCCAAATTGATTTTGAGAAAGATTAGTATCACGTCGTAACTTATGCTAAAAAACTCTCCCAATGTTTTAAAATATGATACATCAACTAAATTCCTCTGTAATTTGCACTCTTGTGCATCACCTTTATTCTTAAAAATAGGAATCAACACACTCCTATACTTATATGACATTTTTTTAATCTTCAAAATAATATTCAAACGTTTCATAAGCTAAAAAATTCCATCATCTCCTAAGTATTTGCACACCTCTATTGGAATATCATTAGGTTCAATAGTTTTCCACACTTTATTTTTTTAAAGCCTCTCTAACTTCAACTTTACTAATACGCAATTAAAAACATGAATTTATATTTTCATTTAGGGTACTAAGGTCACTAAAATCAATCATATTCTAATAATATTCATTAAAAAACTTATAAAAATATCTAATCTACCTTTATTGAATATCTTATTCTAATAAAAGCACTTTTTGATCTTCATCCTTAATATACTTCACTTGAACTAAATATTATCTCTTTGTTTGGCTAACTTAAACATACATCGTTTGCCCTTCTTAGTATTTAATCTATCATATAAATCATTAAAAGTAAAATTCTTTCGCATCACATATTGTTATCTTAGACTTCTTACGTGTCTATTTATATCTTTACCAATTTTTCGAGTTTTTACCTCTAACTAATTTCAAAACAAAATTTTTATTTTAATCTTTTCTTGCATATTTTGATTTCACCATTAACTATTTTAACTATTAGGAGAATTTCCTTTTGATACTTCAAATACATCTTTAATAATATTCTTAATTGGCTAACCTTTTCACATAACATTAACTTCCACATATACAGTCAAAATCTTAAGTATATGTAAATTAAAGTTCTCAATTCGAAGGATTAGTAGTAGAGAATAAAAACTACAACATAAATTTTCTTAAGATTAGTGACAAATTTAAGTTAAATGGAGTTTCTGTTAATACAATTTACCAGAGATATGAACCAAAATTGTCTTCTATCTCTTTATGAAAGATCAA